GTTGTCTTATACTATTGCATACTATTCATTAATAGCAGGGATTCTAGCTGGATGAAGATTCGCATGATTTTTACTATTTGTACTATCACCACCAACACTATAGAAAATTTCTATGTGAAACACTTTACATATCAAGATTCTGATGGCTTCTTAGCTAGGAGGGCGGCTATTAGAGAAATATGACTTACAGCATTTTCCTTGAGAGTTACTTTTTAGAGAAATCCTTATTCTTAGAGAAATGTTATTATTAGTTAAAACAGTAATTCAGTAATAACTCTTACTGGTTCCCACCCACTTTTATCCCCAGAAAGACCTCCTGAATAATGCACCCTCTGGATAGGCCTTAGGGGTAGGGCCTGCTTTGGTCACAGTACAAGTGGGAGACACATCTGGTAGAACAGTCGTTTGGGGAGATAAATTATTCTCTAGGCCTTCTAGCTGGAGGGAAGAGATTGCTTCCTATTCTCTTTACTTTGATAATCTGGGCTTTCTGGTAAGTGGACTTTTATGGAGAGTCTTCCCTAAAATAATATGGTTAGACATGGAAACTTGTCTTTTTCTAGCTTTTTCCTATTTTCTCAGGCTCACAGAGAAGGAGGAAAGATTTGCAAAAGAGAAAGTGGTGGTCAACCATGAGGGATAGTCTGGGTGAACCCAGTTGAGGGAAACTGGGCCAATTTACCTTTGGTGGGTTAAATGGAGCCAGAACAAATTAGGGTGAGTGGCTTGGGCTCAGCTGCAGTTAGTAGGGGCTGAAATGCTTCTAGGAGGCAGCTGTGGGGTGGCAAGGAGGCTCAACAGTCACCAGCTGGTGCTGAAATGGCCTGGGGCTTACAGATGTGCAATGTGCTCTTAAACAACATTCTCCTCCTCCAGCATTCCAAAGCCAGGCATGGGATAACCCTAAGGTACATTTCTTCACTCCTCAGGTGAAAACTGCCTTGGACATTTCATTTTGGATCTCATTTGTATGCAATTTTTAGTGAACAAGCAGGTCCTATCACTTCCCTGATGTCTACACCCTCTCAGGGGTAGTTTGGCTTTAAAACAAGCCAAAACCTCTGAGGTGAATGGGTCTCACTGATGTTTTGTACCAGCCACTAGGGTATAAAAAACTAAGACAAATCCATACTACTGCATTAGTGAAATAAGAACAAATACTACATGATGCTATTTATTTGATACATCTAAAATAGTCAAATTTATAGATGCAAATATATAGATGCAGACCCTAACAACTGGGGGAAGGCGGGAAGGGGAGGTTTTAGTCAAAACATACCAAGTTTCAGTAATGCGAGTTGAGTAAGTCCTGGAGTTCTACTACACAGCACAGTGCCTATAGCTCGTAATACTGTATTGTATACTTAAAATATGCTGAGGGCAGATCTTATGTGAAGTATTCTTATCACAAAATAATAAGATGGGAGGAAACTTTGAGGTGATGGATAGGTTTATAGCTTAGATTATGATGACGGTTTCACAGGTGTACATTTATCTCCAAACTCATCAACTTGTTTACGTTATGCACAGCTAATATATAAAAATTTTAAATAAAAACTAATAAACAACAGCAACAAAACCCATACTACCGTATTGTTTCAACGCTTACAAGTTTGAATCATACTTGTCTTTCACCATGTCATTTTCCCAAGAGGATTCGCGGAGTAGCATGTAACATGGAGTATGAGAAATTTAAAGCACATCTGGGTTAGGAAAAATTCCTCCACACGTAAGCCGGCCAAACAAGAAAAGAGTTGTTGACAGACCTATCTAAACAGGCACATCCTTCACTTCTGAGGCTCGGCCCTGGGATGCTCTCCTGTTTTGCAGCCCCGGTTGAAATTGTTTTTGAATAGTTGTTAGCTGCAAGGCAGCCCAAGCCACTCTGTTTACCAGGTGCTTGCACAAACTTGAGTTCATTAACCTCTTTCAAAAGTCTGAAAACTTTTTCCGTGCACTGACTGGGCGACCGAAAACAAACCAGTAATAGAAAGTAAAAACTGAGCACAAACCTAAGTAGGCTGCAGCCTCAACTCGTTTGGGCGCGAAGCCCTCAGCCAGGTCGCGTGTGACGCTTTCCCGGCTCCGAGCCTCAGGCCGCGACCCAGCCAGCCCCGCGGACGGCGGCGAGGGCGGGGCCGCGGCTTCTGGCTCCTCCCTGGGGCGGGGCGACGGGGGCGGGAGGAGGTGCCGCCGCGCAGCAGTAGGAACAGCCTCGCCGGTAGCTCGTCGTGCCCGCGCCTCTCTCGCCCGGGATGGACTGAGCCACGCCGGCGGCTCGCGCCGAGTCGGTCCCGCCCGGGCCGGACTCCGGACGCAGGACACCGCCTTGCGCGCTCCCAGCAGACGGCCCCGGACCGACAGCCTCGCCGTGGCGATGTCCGGCGGCCGGAGGAGAGGCGGCGCCCCCTGGCACAGCTTCTCCCGGTTCTTCGCTCCTCGAAGCCCTTCCCGGGACAAGGAAGAGGAAGACGAGGAGAGGCCGGGGACGAGTCAGCCGCCCGCTCCGGGCCGGGGCGCTGCCAGGTGGGAGCCGCTGGGGACGTCGGGGGGACCCTGCGCGGACGCACGGGATTGGGGCTCCTGGCCCGACCGACAGCCCGCTGCCGGCCGCCCTCGTGCCAGGCTGCACTTGGCTCTCCACTTTCTGTTCTCCTTCCTCCATTGCTCAAGTTTCCTCCTCCTCCCCAGTTCCCGGGCCGATCGCTCCCCTCTCCTGGGCTGGTGAAGTGTGTGTGAAGTTGGTGGTTCGCGGCCGGGTGCGCCCCCCTGGGTCCCGCGCTGCCCGCGCGCGTCCTTTCCGCCTCCCCTCCCGGTGCGGGTGCGGATCCCGTTCCACGCTCGCGTCCGCTCGCCAAGTTCTGGGGCAAAAGCGAGTCCCCCGGCGTCCTGTCGCCTTAATGGGAAACACTTGTGAGCGGGGCCGGGGCAAAGAGGGCGCGATCGGAACACCCCCGGCGTGGGAAAGGTGACGCTTTGGAGCGCCACATCTTCAGCTGGTATTTTGCCGTCTGACTTAAATTTCCTTAAACATGATTTTATAAAAAAAATTGGGATATTGAGTTGCCAAGACTTCATTAAAATATAAAAACCTCGCTAGTTTTACTTACAATTGCCTGGAAGTTTAAATAATGCCGCCCTTCTTTTCTTTCCCATCTCTCTTCGGAAACATCTCTTTCAGGTTCCCAAACAGATCCCAGAAACCAGGACTCGAGTTGTCTTGGTTTCAGTGATGAAAAACGTGCCCCTTCTCTGTAATCTTTTCTCCTTCCTCCACCGCCTGTAAAATCGATGTTTTATTTAGACGTGTCTCATTAAAAAGCCCGTTCTTGAGTCTTTTTTATCCGTCCTTGAAGGATGAAGAGGAGTTTAAATAAATACAACTTCTCGTTTTAAACTTTTTGGTGAAAAGAGAGACTTAAACTCCCTTCTCCCCCAAATTGCACTAGAAGAGTATGTAGCCCGTGTGATTAGAAGCACGGGCTCCAGAAAGCTATGTTTACTTCAGATTTTAAAGACTTCCTGGAGGGCTTCAAAGAAAACTGGATAGGAAACAGAACTGTAACTGTGACTAAGTTGAGTTGGTGCCATTAGTATTCAGGTTTTGTGTTTTGATTCTAGTCTGCAGTGTTCCTCAGTTTCCCAGCTTGTAAACATTTGCATTATGGCCATCTGTTAATAAAATCCCATGTCTTTCCAAAAAGCTCCTACTAAATTGATCAACTTCTCCTGGGATGTTTTCAGCTCTTACTGCCCTATTAATGGAGAATTTAAAATTCAAAGTTACACAGTGGTTAAAAATAGTTTTGAAGTCTGATAGGGCTCAACCAGAATGTCAGATCTGCTAGTGTGGGCAGACAGCCTGTACCATGGTGCCTGCCGTTTGTGTAACAGCACTGACAATCTTGGATAATATGGAAGAGGTGTTGAAAAGAAATCCCGAGTAGACAGCAGAAGTTGGAAACGTGAGTCTGTGTTAGAAAGGAATAGGTAGGCCAATTTCAGGTCCATATCAGGATGGTCCTGAAACCTTGCCTGCCATCCAGCACTATTTTGGCTTTTTTAGGCACTTATCAAATCTAATCTCTCTCCTTCAGGAGTTACCCATTCTTCCAATTAGTCTCTTGCCTACTTACCATTTCTCTATTCTCATTATCTCCAGACAGGCACAAACTATGGCTTTTGACAATGAAAATTTTAATTGTGCTTATATGAACACTTGTTTTTCTTCATCTGTTTTAGAACTTACCAGATGTTAAGGGAATAGCAGATAATCCCTTTGTGTGGGTGTTTTACCTTTTAAATGAGCTTAAATCCTTCTTTTCAAGGATATAAACACAAACAAAGCCTTTATTGAAAGTTTAATGAAACAAATGGAAACACTTAGTGGTACCAAATGTCCTAGTAACACAACACCCTGGTGTTAACAAGATTGGAAACAATTGTGATTTGTCACTGTGATCTTATTTCAAAATGCCAGGGTATTTTGGCTGTTTGTCTTAGAGGCAGTGAAAAATTTTTAGTTTTAATGGGAGCCCGGTTTACCTTCCATACGGTGAGTTTGGATACAGAGGACCCCGTTCAGCAGACATGCAGTGCTTGGAGTGGTAGGGATGTAAAGCTTTCATGGTGTGCTCTAAGTTATTGGGCTTCATTTGCTGTGGACACATCATTTGTGTATTGAGTTGGCTGCTCTTCTGTTCTCATAAACCTTCAGCAATTAAAGAAGCCTATTGACATCAACGCTGTTGTATATGCCAATTCAGGTGTGGGCACTCGAATTGCTTGTATCTTGGGTATGGCTAGATCCAGGAAGTGCTTATATTAATTTATTTTAGAGTATATAGAAATGAAAACTGCAATTGAAGTTTTGCATAGGAAACTTGAGAACGCTTGAGTTCTGTGGTTCCCAGTTTGAGAATCCCTGCTATAATGTTTAACCCCGTTTATGGCACACAAGGGATGGACTCATTAGAAGTGATAGGGAAGAGCTGGGAAGGCTTCACGGTTGAGGTGCTTTTTACTGGGTCTTGAAAGCATGAGTGGTGTTTCTATAGGCAGAGAACTTAGCTAGGAACTTAGAACTTAGAACTTAATTGGGTTGTCGGAAAAGTCATGCCGTATTTTTTCCATGTTTTTCATTGCAAAAATGCGTCATGACTTTTCCGACAACCCATAGAAATTGAAAACAAGTCTTCCAGGCTGAGCAAAGACTTGCAGGAGGTTATGACCTGTTAGGGGCTATATACATTGATGGGACAGAATGACAGACACAGTAAGAAAGTTGGATTGAAGCTGGACGGTAAAGGTCTCTACACAGTGTTTGGCTCTTGATTTGAAGTTTAAAGAATTTTTGCAAAAGCCCATTAAACAGATACTACTAAAATGTGACATTTGGAGGATACCTGGCTTCTAATTTTCTCTGCTTTAAGGAAACGATTGCTTGGCTTTGTTTCTTTGCTGTACCACCCATGATGGACCTGTTTAAAGTGAGCTCAGTACGTTTGTAACTCAGGAGGGGGATAGGAAGGTGAGAACAGCATTTATCAACAGTTGACTGTGCACTTAGCCCTGGGCTGGTGCTTTCCCTTGTAGCATGTCATTAAACCTCACCCTCAGCCTGGAAGCTGAGTATGCTTGCCACTATTCTGACAATTGAGGAAACTGAGGGCAGGAGAGGTCTTAGTGGTGGACACTGTCGATGTCTTGGGTGCAACAGTCTTTCTTGAACTGGACTCACCTGTCCTTGACTGGATATTTGGCATCTGTGGCCCCGCCCACTAGTATCCTCCAGTCATATCCTCCAGTCATTGGGATAACCCAAAACACCTCCACCCAGGTGTTCTGGAGGGAGAATGATACCAACTACAGTCAAGAATTATTTACCCCAAACAACGAGAGAAATAAGGTTAAGGAGAAACAGTTGGACTTAGGTTTTTCTTACACTCTCCTGTCCACCACCCTTCTGAACTATGCTTCTTCAAAACACACCTGAATGCGTAAGTCAGTTGGATCTTTCATTACTTTGTTCCAGAATGGGTGGCAATGTGGCCTATTTCAGATATCTTCTTTCGGGCAGTTCCTTTGAGCGTTCCAATGTAGTGTTATTGATAGAAAGAAGGTAAGACAGGGTCACTAGACCCAAGGTTAGGGACTGTGTCATATTCATCTTGGCGACCCCTTTACCATGCTCAGATGAGGAGTGAATGAACCTCTGCTGATGGAGCATTAGAGCACTTATTAGTGGTTTTCAGCCAGGGGTGGTACAGCCCTCATCCTCAAAGTGGGCATTTAGAAGCATGGGGGAATCTTACAGGTCTCTAGACAGTATTTGCCTCTCAATTTAAAGTTGAGAGAATTATTGCTTGTCACTATTAAATGGGTGAAGCCAGGATGCTAATAGCTTGTATAAGAGATATTCTCATAAAAATGTCCGTGGTGCCCTGGATGCATGAGATCTGTTGGCCTTCAGGTTAAAGTACCAGTGTTGACCACAGCCTCAATTATATGAGGACAGGGAGCTTTGTTCTCTGACTTTTTATGGTGATTCTATTTTCATCAATTTGAAAGCATTATAGAAAATAATTAGTAGCTAGTTTAGTTGAACAGGAGATACCCGTGTGGTGTTGAAGGACCACTTTGGCAGTTCAAACCTGCAGTAATTAAAGATGACTGGAAAATTCGAGAAGTCCTCAGAGTGTATTTTCTGTGAGTCTTGAGCTCACAGGTTAACAGAAAGCACAAAACCTACTCTTGGCAGCGGAGTAGAAATATAGAACTTTTTACAGTGTTGAAACCGTTCCTTTTTTTTTTTTTTTCAAGTGAAATATCTGTCTTTTGGGTTTAACAGGGTGTATGAATGCCAGATGGTTAATTTGAGGATTCTGTTTCTTATTGAGGTCATTCCTTGAAAACTAACTCAATCGTACACTAAATGTTTTAGAGTTACACATGTACCTCAAATCGGCCTGCAATAAATTTGTATCATCTGAACTTCTAATTGTATTGAAACAGTGATAACATTTTTGTTTTCTTAATTAAAAAGAAACAAATATTCACTCAAGATACAATATTTTATTTCCCAACCAGAGTTCTGATGAAATACGCAGAAGCCCAGATACACCAGAAATGCTAGTACAGCTGTGGTAGCAAGCAGACATAGGTTGATGTAAATTTAAACTCAGGAAAATAATCCAGGCTATCTCCTGAAAAGAGGATCAGCATGAAATAAAAGTTCAAGAAGTCATACTGATTTTGAGTCTTTTCAGTCCATTGTTTTGAGTGGCTCCTATGTGTCAAGTATGGTGCTAAGCAGTGGAGATACAAAGATGAATGAATGAACAAAACTGACCTCAAAGAGGTCATAAATTAATGGATGAGATAAATATGTACATCTCTACGCTCCCAGTGAGCTCATTATAAGCCAAACATGTTTTTGGTGTGTGTGATTTGTTGGTTCAGAACACATGTACTGTTTCATGGCTGTCAAATATTGTGTGGGAACTCGAATTGGGCTTTGAAGATAT